TCCCGATTGTAATCCTTGAATTGTCGTACCCGTACCCGGAATGACCTGGCCTAATTTCAACATTCTTTTCAAATTGAAGCTGACAATCCGTGTTCTACTGAACTTTTGTTAAAGTGAGTGAATTTAGTTTTATGCCGCTTCTAGCAATACTCTGAGGACAATTCAGAAATGGACTTTGACACATAGAACCCAGTTTGGGGAATCGAAATTTTGTTGATGGCATCTTCAAACTCAACTACATCCCTTCAAAACGAATATGTTAAATATATTTTATTGTAGACATTACATTTTCCACCAAATCTGAGAAGTGCTTTCTTCTGGGCTACGACTTACGATATTCATTTAATTTCTGTTATCTCGAACTTTGATAACGCGAAGTATTTACGTAGTTCTCTTCTTCAACTTCGACACAAGGGTATTTGAGTCAATGTACAGATGTGGGTTACGCGAGTGTAAAGAAGTGCTTGTACATATCTCACAAGCAGATACATGCTACACCACCAATTTTCACTCAGCTCTGGTCATACTCATCAGGAGGTTTGTGCTTAGATTCCGCTAAAAATATGTATAAAAACCATCTCAATTCTTATATTCGATTTTAGAAAAGCTCTTGCTATTAACAGATGTGGAGCAAGGAATAGTGTAGTTCAATGTCCCAGAGGTGAGTGAGTGAGTTTAGTTTTACGCCACACTCTGCAATATTCCAGTTATATGGCGGCGGTCTGTAAATAATCGAGTCTGGTACAGACAATCCAGTGATCAATAGCATGAGCATCGATCTGCACATTGGGGAACCTGATGACATGTGTCAACCAAGTCAGCGAGCCTGACCATCCGATCCCGTTAGTCGACTCTTACGACTCTTATGGCTTGCTTGAAGATCAATTCTAACCGGATCTTCACGGGTCCCCCAGAGGTCACCGTGCGTCGTCACGATATGGTTGAGATATTGCCGTGGACGTTAAATATTAACTCACTAACCCACTCACTCATTGTGCGTCAGCGTATTCAATGTGAAAACTGCTGAGATGTTTGCTGTAACTCTGTAAACATACTGAGCAGTGGAACACGCTCTGATACATATATAAAAGAAACAACGCTTAAAATTGACTCCAATAAAACATCATCTGAACGGTCTAGTAGTCAGCGACGGGTTTGGTAATACATAACCAACAACTACGATGGCGTTCAATAAGTTTTGCAACTTGGGCATTTGTGCTTTACACAAACAATGTCAACTTTGTGGCAGGTGTGACACTAGTGATAACATCAGGCTGACACGTGTCATGACTAGTACCAGACACAACAACAAGTTAGATATGATGGCTTCATTCAACTAAGGTTGGTCAATAATCATGGATTTTCTCAAACATGATCAACGCGCTGTAATAAAGTTCCTTACAATGGAGGGATACAAAACAAAGAAATCCATGACCGCATGTGTTAAGTGATGGTAGGGATGCTCCTTTGACGATTCCACAGTTAACCGTTGTCTCTACAGTTTAAAAAGGGTAGGGAGACCATAGACGATGACCCAAGGTCAGGAAGGCCCCTCACATGCCACCCAACCGGAACCCATAGCAGCTATAGAAAGAAAACATTTTGTCAGGCCAACGAATACAAGTATTCTGAGCTTTCTAAGGAATTCCAAATATCAGTTGGGACTGTTACGATCATAATTAATGAGCATCTTGGTTTGTCCAAGGTATCTGCAAGATGGGTACCTAGAAACCTCAGAGCTCAAGATCAGAGAACTGAAAGTTGTCGAGAGCTCCTGATTCTCTATACTGGGGATGACATATTTCCCCGATACTTTCACATTTAGTATGTTTGGTTGTTTGTAGATATCTTAACACTTTGTTGTATGAGTGTTTGAGTGTTAATCAAGACTTTCTGTATTGCCCAGATTTATCAAACTCGAGCCATTGAAAACTATGGTTAAATCCTGGTTTGGGGAATACTGGAATAACCTCGAACTCAAAGGTTGCCTGACCACCAGTCAGTCATCACAATAAAACAACCCTAAAACAAAACAAAACAAAAACAAGAAGGAGAAGAAGAACAACAACAACAAAACACCCCAAAACCACACCAAGGAAACTGAACGACGATGGAGTACAAAACATTTGCAATTACCAACAGTTTTATTGCCGTTACTACATTTCAGGTGAATGAAGATTCTTCTTATGTACACTTGATGTCCGCTGGCTTCAGTTTGTCGACTCCCTCGTCACACTGGCGTATGTCAAGGGGGCTCTCCTATTCTTAGGGTCACCGCAGTAGGTTCTTGAAACCCTGTGGACAGGAGAGGGAGTGACATGGAGATATATATTGTAATCAAATGTGAAAGCTACAAACGATATCGACGTATAATGAAAGTGACTAACGGGATAATGCAGAGTGAGTGAATGCTGTTTTACGCCACTGTAAGAATATCCATGTCCAACTGAACGGGGTACACCAACAAAGGTCTTTTACAAATAACGTGGACCGAAATTGTAAGTGAATGCTTTAACATTTGGCCTATGGGCACTTTGGGAGTGCTATGGACGTTTCTGATAATCAAATCTGTGACATTATCACACATCATGAAAATGCAACCAGTATTGAGAGGGTGTTGACAAGAAGGGTCAGTATCAGTCTTTAACGGACTACATATAATGACCTTTGTAACTTAACTGGGATCGTTGGAGATGTATGCGCATTATGGTCTTATGGACTACATGTAATGACCTTTGTAACTTAACTGGGATCGTTGGAGATGTATTCGCATTATGGTTTAATGGACTACATGTAATGGTCTTCTTTGTAACTTAACTGGGATCGTTGGAGATGTATTCGCATTATGGTCTTATGGACCTTCGTAATAGCAAGACTTGGCTGGTTATTTACTTACAGTTATTTACTATTGCGCCATTAAGAAGTCGGCATTGGTAAAATCTGAAAAGAGATACAAATGTAAGATAATGTTGGTATACCCTTTAATCCCAGATATTCCATTCCAGCAATTCTCTATGAACATGTTATTGCTATGAGCTTTCCATGATTGATAAATTGATAACTGACTGTTAAAGGGGAAACTGGGCTTTTATGGACAGTTATCTCCCTTTGCCTCGGCAAAGAGAGTTCTGGCGGAAGGGATACAATAATTTGAAAGTTCCTCTTACTGAATGTAACGAAGTCGTCTGCAGTTGTGACGGCCATCTTGGTTGACGTCAAGGGTCCCGTACATGTATCTGCCATACTCTTCGGAGAAGCCGTACCGACACGTAAACCAATTCACGATCTCCCATTCTTCCATGAGACAAAGGTCACCTGTAAGTTAAAATGAAAAATACACCGTTTTTCAGAAAAAATGTATGCCACAGACGTTTGGTTCTTCAGGTTTCTTTATCACCATCAAGATCACCACTGCCATCATCATTAGCATCAAACTTCATATTCATTAGATTATCAAATATACAATAAAGAAATGCTATAATAGATCTTTTACAATCTTTACAACGCAAGATACTCAATATATTCGGTGGCTAAATGAAACTTACCGTCGTAGTTGTAATTCAGGATATCTTTGCCGATGTCACCCCAACCACTCTGCCGTCACCGTTGTCGTCGTTGTTCAGCACAGCAGCACAGAATTTCCCCACCAGCCCTCAGGAGGGTTGCAGTCGTTAAGCAGGTAAAATAAGAACCTTCAAGAAGAGAGATAGTGAATGAATGAGAGAGCCACAATAGGTATCAACTTGTGTATCTTTAGTATCACTAGAAGAAATTGTAACAGTTTGTTTTGTTTGTTTGTTGTTTAAGGCCGCACTCAGCAATATTCCAGCTGTATGGCGGCGGTCTGTAAATGATCGAGTCTGACCCAGGCAATCCAGTGATCAACAGCATGAACATCGATCTGCCCAACTTGAATACGCAATGGTCCTGATCACCCGATCCCGTTAGTCTCCCATAACGACAAACATTGGTGGCTGAATTATAAACCTGGTCGTGTCTGGTGAATGTCTTGATATACCTTTGGGAAACCACAGGTCCCACAGAAGAGGATGGCGAACACGGCAAGTCGAAGGGCAAGCATTCTGAAATAGAAAACCAGACTCAAGGAAATGGCAGTCGAATTTGTCATCAGAATTTCAAAAATATCACAAGTGTCATTGCGTATGCGATAAACGACAAAGTAGTGGTTGATGACACGAACATCAGTCAAATCAGTACACACTACATCTATCAGGAGCATATTCAGCGGACAGTAAGGGAGGTAAATGTACATGTTCTACGACTGAAATCGAAAAGAGTCATTAATCAGCAGTGATAATTGATTGATTGATTGTTGTTCGGCGTCGCACTCAGCAATATTCCAGCTATATGGCGGCGGTCTGTAAATAATCGAGTCTCAACCAGATAATCCAGTGATCACCATCGTGAACATCTATATATGCTATTTGGATAGGGATGACGGTATCAGTTAAGTCAGCGAGCCTGGCAACCCGATGACGTTAATCGCCTCTCTTACAAGCATGGGTTGCAGGAAGACCAATTCCAGATCGAATCTTCACGGGTCCAGCACTGATCAATAAAGACCAAATTAAATATTGTAGTAAAACTCGGAGAGAGTACGAACCTGTCTCAGTGCTCTGATAACGACTTGAGATGTGGCCAGATATGTTTCCCACTGGTATGTTCATGTTATAGCTCCGCCCCATGAGGAGGCGGACACAGGAGTTTTGGTAGGTGAGGAGCTGCCGACGAGGGGTATCCATATTTTGTTAACTGAATTTTAGAATCGTCCCGTTTGTGGATACCTGCACGTGAATGGTACAGGTAACAATATACTCAATCAGTATTTAGTCTAGATGTACAAGGTATTGCCTGACTGTCACGTTATTAAATATTGCAAATACGTACAGGTATGTCCTGTCTAGAGCCCCACTTTCAGTGACAGACTGAGATTGCTGACTCCGCAAGCAATTTCAATTATCTATATGATCCGAGAAACAAAAGCCACCCGGCGAAGTTGTGTAGTTGAGCTGTAGAAGAGACGACAGTGAACTTCAAGGTAAGCTGTTGGCGGTAGTCTAAATGTAGGAGCACACGTCAAGTAAACATCTTATTGAATGTTATTTAACATAAAATGCCTATTAGTGTAAGCTATGAATAATTTCTTATGTTTTGCTATTAATGTTTGTTGGTTGACTTTAACTCTTTTTAGTAGAAAGCCCTGTTTATGAATGGTCTAAAGTCCCATTCTGTGCATGTCGGGGAAACATGCACAGATTCCTTACATTATCTATATCATCAACACTTTGTTTTGTTGTGAACACTGTTAATATTTGTTGTTGTGCTGTTAAAGGAACAGTCACTTGGAGTATATAACTAGGTTCGTGTAAATCTATTCACACCTATCTTCCCACAGATGATGTACAGAGCGCTGTTATGTCTGGCCCTATTCGTGGGCTCTGCATCTGCCCAGGGAAGGGGGTTCAGCAACAACAAGAATACAGAATGCGGTTCCTTCCAAATTAAACAGGCTGGCCGGTGAGAACTACATATATAGTATTTCTATCTTTAAATCTCTACCTGCGCTGACGCAGTCGCACATTCATAACTTAACAAACAATACCTTAATAAGTCCAACTACTTCAAACTTTAAGTACAACACCTTTAATAATTGCAACTACCACAACCTGTAAGTAGAACAATACCTTAATCAGAGCAACTATTGCAGCCTGTAAGTCCAACAATATCTCAACAATTACAACTACTAGAAACTGACTGACTGATTGAGTTTGGTTTTACGCCGCTTTTAGCAATATTCCAGCAACATCACGGCGGGGGACACCAGAAATGGGCTTCACACATTGTACCCATGTGGGGATTCGAACCCGGGTCTTCGGCGTGACGAGCCAATGCTTTAACCATTAGGCTACCCCACCGCCCCTCTACTAGAAACTGTTAGTACAACATTACCTTAATAAGTATAAGTACTTCAGCCTTTAAGTACAAACAATACCCTCAATACGTACAACTACTACAGCCTTTTAGTACAACTATACCGAAAGTAATATTTCTACGTCAGCGTAATGGAAAAGGAACAAGGCCATGCATCATCGTTCGTCTTTTTCACTGTGGAACAACCCTGGAATATTGGTATGGCACATAGAAACCAGTGGTGACGCCTCATTCAGCAATATTCCAGATATTACCTATATGGCGACGGTCTGTAAATGATCGAGCTACCAATCCAGTGATTGACATCATGTGCATCGAACTACGAAACTGGGATTCGCTAGCATCTGGCAACTACCAAGTCAGCGAGCTTGACCACCCAATCCCCTGGGTCGCCTCTTACGACAAGTATGGGTTACTGAGGATCAATTCGAACCCGGATCTTCACGGATTTCCGTGATAAGACCTCTGTTAAAGGTGGCGTTAAATCATATACAGTCCGGCATAGCTAAGTTAGGAAATGCATTTTCATACCTCCAACTCTTAAATGAAGATTCAGGAAAGTTTGGACCGGCAATATTTAGCATTAACTCGATTATTTATGTTGTCCTCAGTTTATGAGGGATCTGTTGTGTGTATTACAAGGCAATAATAGATGTGATGTCTGACTCTTTGACTCTGTATTCACTCAGACCCACCAACGAGTCCATGACTGATGTTGACACACGTCAAGTTCTGGATGACCTCAAAGCTCTCGACACCGACAAAGATGGCAGCCTCACTTCCGCCGAAATGGACGACCGGACATTTGGAGCCACGTTCGACAGTTCCCTCAAACGTAAGTAATAGGTTTAATATTGACACAGAAGTTATTCAGAATCACCCTGTAGAACTTGTACGACAACTATGTTTGTGGTAAGTTCTTGTCCTTCACAGCTATCAGTTTGGTCGATCGTTCCGTCTGACCCTGGAGAGGATGGTTTCACCTACATCTGGGATGTTTTATTGGGTACTTTTAACACTGGAATTGCACACTCATTTCGCATGCTCTTGTCCTGTACAGTTAACGCTTGAGTCGATCATTGCACCTTTATTCCCCATGTTCTTGTCCTGTAAGATTAACGATGGAGTCGATGGCTGCAGTTACATTTGTGATGTTTTTGGTCTTGGCACTAAACGCCATAGTTGATGGTTGCACACTCATTTATCATGTTTTTTATCCTGCACAGTTAACGCTTGAGCCGATCATTGCATCTTTATTCCCCATGTTCTTGTGCGGTAAGATTTCAACCATGGAGTCGATGGCTGCAGTTACATTTGTGATGTTTTTGGTCTTGGCACTAAACGCCATAGTTGATGGTTGCACACTCATTTCTCATGTTTTATCCTGCACAGTTAACGCTTGAGTCGATGGTTGCAACCAACATTTGGGCTCTTCTTGTGCTGTATAGTTTATAGGTCGATGGTTGCAAATACATTTATCATGTTCTTGTTTTGTGCAGAAAAAACGCTGGGGTCGACCGTTGTACCTACGTGATGATGGGGAAGAAGCGGTATGACATCGGCAGGGGTCGTCTCAGGCCGCGTCTTCGACGTTGTCGACGTCAACAAAGACCTCAAGCTCAGCGCTGCGGACAAAGGACGACGCTGCATTCAAGCTGCTCGATAAGGATGGTAGGATATACGATACCTTGCATAGATTTTCTTGTACAAGATTAAACAACCCAAAAGATTTCCAGCTTCTGCTGTTGGTAGTCATATTGTTTAAACAACATTATTGCACGATCCAGTAGCCTGATGTGCATTAGTTCTTGAAGAGACGATCTGTCTCTTAGGGGTACAAGAATTACATGATCGTTGTCATTCTTGGCTATCAGTCCCACATCCAAACTCCTGCATTTTCACAAAACAGCATCGACAATTTCTTTCTTTGACTTTCACCAAAGATTTGAATGTAGAAAATGCATAATTCATATAAGTCAAGCTATAATTATCCTTTCTAGTCATTATTTGTAATAGTTTGGAGGTGCCGTTAAAAACAAGTAAACAAACACAACGACGAGAAGTCACAACATAATGAATGATTTTTATCTGAAGGTAATGGCAAAGTGTCTGTGTGTGAAGCTTTCAAGGGCTACATGGCCGTGTTGTAAGATGCAGAAGAAAAGGCATACATGCAAGAGGTATTTATGACGTTTCAACAATATTTAACCAAGTTAGGAAACTGTAGCAATGTACTGTTGTGCAGTGACTATCCCACATTCATTGATCTCTCTAATACATAGCATGGATTTGCTCTAAAACACGCTATGGCAAAGCTTACTCAGAGCACACGGAAACTCCCGTTCTGGGCGTCGTATTAAATGAGTTAACGGAAACCAGAATAGTGGATTTTATAGAACTGACAGGATTGACGTCCATATAACGTCCTACCGCATTCTGATGCTACATTTCAGTGTGTGATACAGATGCTGATCGTCTTGTTTTTCGATAGGTATCGAGTTTGCTACCTCGCCAAAGAGTTATAAAAGTAAACTCAACACAAACGTATTAACATGTTCATTGGTCTTATAGAATACTCGAAAAGAATACGGTTGGCTATTTATTCAAAAGTACATATTAACTCCATGGTAACAATGGGGTATAAAAATTTCAATTTCCATAAGGTTTCTGTGTGATTTGCTTTCTGATAGAGATCGTAGAGTTCGGTGCAAAAAAATAAGTACCGGACGTAACTTGAACGATATAAGGGCATGGAGTCGCAGCTATGTGTTGTGGGCAATGGATGTCAGGATGTAAAGTGGAGCAATACCTCTACGATGTTTTAACTCTGGTCTTACAGCACACTCACAACAGAATCCATGGATCTGCAATAATCAGTGATGGCAGCATGACACCAGTGGGATGAGGTTTGGGGTGTAGGGAGATGTAGGGTGTAGGGTGTAGGATTGTAGCGTGTAGGGTGTAGGGTGTAGGGTGTTGGGGTTGAGGATGTGGGCTACAGTGCAATAATCAGTGATGGCGATGACACCAGTGGGATGGGGTTTGGGGTGTAGGGTGTAGCCTGTAGGTGTAGGGTGTTGGGGTTGAGGATGTGGGCTACAGTGAAATAATCAGTGATGGCGATGACACCAGTGGGATGGGGTTTGGGGTGTAGGGTGTAGGATGTAGGGTGCAGAGTGGCGGGTGTCGGGTGGTGGATGGTGGGGTTGAGGATGTGGGCTACAGTGCAATAATCCAGTGATAGCGATGACACCAGTGGGATGGGGTTTGGGGTGTAGGGTGTTGGGTGTTGGGGTTGAGGATGTGGGCTACAGTGCAATAATCCAGTGATGGCGATGACACCAGTGGGATGGGGTTTGTGGTGTAGGGTGTAGGATGTAGCGTGTAGGGTGTTGGGTGTTGGGGTGTTGGGGTTACAGTGCGTCGACGTGGCAAAAGAAAGATTTGTCATCTGACAAAACGAACTATTCAGGCACACTGCTCTGTTTCTCATGCTTTGAAGGGTTTGTCTCACCACAGGACAGTTGTTACCCAAAAGGTTTTGTGACAAAGTTTTGCATCTCCTTGTAAAATGTTTGGGCAATGTGTGTTGAAAGACTTTCTCCTAGAGGTAGTTTCGCCTTTGAATATATTTGGGACTAAAACATCTATTTTTATCATTTGCATGTTAGATGTGTCAGTATAAATCCATTATGCAGATTGTATTCTGTACACTCGGAGATCCTCTGTATAAGTCTGTTAACAAAGAGCCAGAATTACTGGATTTTTGTAGAACTGAAAACCCAACCTTTGCCTCTTTTCTCAGGTGAAGTATACGGACATCGTCTACAAGTACAGGAAACGCTCACCCATATATTTCCTGGGTCCGACTAAAGTACCATGTTTGTCCTGGCAAGACAAGGGCAACGATCACCTGACTGCAAGGACGATAACCGTAATGCTTTGTCAATAAAAGTGGAAATACTGATCTTGTCTCTTTCATGGTTATTGGTTAAGTACACTGTCTAGGTTGGATTGCACGGACACGACCAGAGTTGATTTACATATTCGTACTAGGACCCTGTGATGGTAGGTTCGAATCCTACTTGGTTGGTTGGTTTGTTGTTTAACGCCCCACTCGGCTATATACCTGGGCCTCCTTTCACAAAGCACTAAGGTGATCGTAAATCACCGAAAGTAATCTTAGTGTAATGTTAAAGAATGGGAGTTAACTCCAGTAAAGGTTGCTTCGTGAAAGTAGCTCCTGACTGCAAGGACGATAATGCTTTGTCAATAAAGTGGTACATACTGTTTGGTAAAAGTCGAATATCATGTTGATGAGTCGAATATTCAATCGGGTGAAACGAATATCACACGGATGGACTTATATACCGTTGGATTAATTGAAAATCATGTCACACTCAACAATTACCTTCATTCTTCTACTTTGAAAGGATCAAATATTTAGCTACAAGACAATTGCCTCTTTCTGTTCCGTTAGAGCGAGTTTGTAGGTCATGACGTTATCAATACAAAATTTTTCCTCCCTTTCTCTTCTCTTCTTCTTCTTCTCCTTCTCCTTCTCCAAATCCCCTCCTCCTTCTTCTATAGAGCAACTAACCTCGGCTATTGTAACGAGGAAGAAAAGGAGCACCCCTCAAAATATGTCTCCTAGACAACTGCCCTCTTTCTAACATACCAGAACATGTTTGTAGGTCATGACGTTATCAGTACAAATTATTCCTCCCTTTCTCTTCTTATCTTCCTTCTTCTCCTTCTCTTCTCCAAATCCGGTCTCCTTCTTCTATAGAGCAACTAACCTCGGCTATTGTAACGCAGGAAGAAAGGAGCACCCCTAAAATATGTCTCCTAGGCAACTGCCTCTTTCTTAACATACCAGAACGTGTTTGTAGGTCATGACGTTATCAGTACAAAATTCCCTCCTCCTTCTCTACTTTTTTTTTTCTTTCTTCTTTCCTTCTCCTTCTCCACCTTCTTCTGCAGAGAGAAAGAAGTGAGGCACCCCCTAAATTATGGCTCCTGACAATTAAGATCAAGCGAACAGGCCTAAGTAGGAGTCTTGTCTCACTGAAAAAAATCGTTTGGAGGAACAAAGAAATTCTATACTTAACAATAAAGATACTAGACTCCGCAACAATGAAAAGGAATTGCTTGTTAACACACAGCTCAAACATGGGGTGTTGGGTGACCTACTCTTTGCGGGAATACCTATCAACATTTTTAGCAAGTGTTGTAATAAATGCGCGCTATCTGCTGAGTGCACATTTATAAGGTTATGATAAGACAGTTGCAGTCCCTTGCAGCTTCAAAGAAAGTAGAAGGACAAGCTTACGTATTGGTAGCAAGGAAAGGTCAGGTTGAAAACTGTGCACATTCCAAGGTGGAGCACCAAGGAAAGGTCAGGGTTGAAAACTGTGCACATTCAAGGTCGAGCACCTTCCCACATTCCCAAAAAATGAGATGATAGTGCAAAATATTTTGAATGTTTTTCGTTGCATATCGTTTCTAAGAATAGTACGTACTTTTACTAATGATATGATATATTTACAGTTATGGTAAGACATTTGCAGCCCCGGGTGTCCTGAATGACTTGCAGCTTCAAGAAGGTACAAGGATCGTGCTTTGCCA